ATAAATTGAAGCTGGAAGTCTCCCCCCCTACCCCCAACCCTCCTGGAAAGTACAATAAAAGTCTCCACAAAGTTAGAAATTCCTCTTGGGAAACATCACTGAAACAGGCACATGATACGCTGCAGGAGAGTTTTTCTTTTTTTAACAAAAAGGATAGCAAGTGTGACAGGGTTTTTTTTTTAAAGATATGGTGCTTAAAACACGAAGTTATAAGGAGATACAGGGAAATGAACATGCATCGATTTAGTAAAACGTTACAGAACACTTCAGACGTTTCGTCTTTCTCCAGCTTTGTTAAAACATGGAGTGAATTAAGTTTTAGACCAGGGGTGTCGAACTCATTTGTTATGAGGGCCGGATCTGACATAAATGAGACCTTGTTGGGCCAGGCCACGTGTGTCATAAAATGTAATGCCAGCTAGCGGAGATATAAACTTTATAAAGGACACAGACACAAAGGTTTTTTTAAAAAACTTAAAATAAAACCATGATCAAAACATCAGCACTCTTACAATATTTTGTTTACTTAACACTGTCTGATAACTGACACCTCCTGCTCTGAATTATTGCATCAAAATGTCGGTGCTGTTGCAATCTTGACTATGGCTGTTCAGGTGTGTTTCTGTAAGCTGCAAACCTACGATGATGCAGCAACAGCAGAACTGGAAGAAGAAGCAGAAGACAGCCAGTTCCACTGCGGGCCTGATAGAAGCCCTCTGGGGGCCTGATTCGGCCCCTGGGCCGCATGTTTGACACCCTGTTTTAGATGGCTTTTGCCATGATGATTTAAAGCTCACACATAATCTGGTCTCTAAAACAGGTTCACAAATATTTCACTACCTTGCCATCACTACCTTCCCAACCTTTTTGAACCTGTGGGCACATTTGGAATTCTGACACCGCAATGGCTGCCACAGGAGGTAGAGCCAGCCACAAAATGGCTGCCACAGGAGGTCAAGCCAAGCACAAAATGGCTGCCACAGCTTACCTTCAGTCACATGGGGGAGCTCATTGTGCTGTGGTGGCAGCTGCTGGCCAACTGCTGCCAAATAAATGTTTTTTACAAATCTCCACAGCCAATCAAATCTCCAATAGTCAGTCAGAGTCCTTGCTCACCCAGTTCCTAAAAACACTTGGCGGTTGCTGGAAGAGGCATTGGTGGGCACCCATGGGCACCACATTGGAGACTCCTTACACACACACACACACACACACACACACACGCTATATTTTTGCTCTGAGTTCCCATTTTCCCTGCCCAGAAAATGGCTGGTAGTCCGGAATTGGGATAAATGATATTATAGGACACCATCTTGGATCTTTTATTCTGCATTGTAATTTTTATTGAGTTGTATATTGAATTTTAATGCTTTGTATCTTTTATGGCATCATGCCTTTTGTACATCGCCCAGAGCCTGGCGTAAACTGGGATACGGCGATTAATAAATCTAATAAATAATCTCTCCTTATATATAAAAGACTTTTCGTGTCCCACTTTACTCAATGTTCCACACGCTCCCACAGCCTTTGGCCTGCTTGGCTGCCACTCCCACGGACTCCCAATCCCCTGGCTACATTGCCTCAGCCCCGCCCACAGAGCCGACAGTCAGCGTCTCGCTCTCAGTCTGGAGGGATCCAGCGAAGGGGATGGATGCTCTGCTGAGGGAGCAGCAACCCCTCCACAGGGAATAAGGTGGTAGCCCTAGTGAGCAACAGCAAGCAGGGGAAGCACTCACCTTTGCTGCCCCTCACAGCCCCTCTCCCTCAGCCACAAGGCCGGCGCTTTGTCAGGGCAATAGCTGAGCGGGATGTACCGCAAAGAAGGCTGTGTAGCACCTTTCAAAGGCCTTCCTTCAGCAGCAGCGGCAGCGCCAGGGAGGGTCTGGCCTAGAGGAAACGAGCTGCGGCTCCTGGAAAGCCGGACTAACTGTGACTAACTGTCCCCTCAGTGGCTGTTGGTAGGCAACAAGCTTGCTTCTGAAGTAAAAAAACAAAGGACTTTCAGCATAACCCCCTCCCCCACCCACTTTTCTGTCAGAATAAACTTGAATCTGCTCTCTCTCCTTTTTGCTCCACCATGGCTGGCTGGCTAATGAGGTGGGCCAGCGACCATCAAACCATTCTCTTCAACCCCCTGATGTACGGCTGACTTTCCCCTACACTTGTGAGGGCAGAAAGGTGGCAAACAACTTTTGTAAATAAATAAAAATAAATAAATGACTGATCTTAAGAGACTGCCCTGTAATGCTGAAAGTGAAAACTTGAAACTATTTTTGGTGAATTCTGTAAAAGCTTGTGTAACCCAGAAGAACCCTGGTTACATAGATCCTCTCCTAAATTACTTTTTCTAATGAGAGAGGAGGGGACGGGATTCAACTCAATAACTGACTGCACCCTTGTGGTTTGGCAAACAAATGTGAATTGCTTTTAAAAATTTAAAAAAAAAATCAAGGTGTTATGGTTTTCAATGTAACTGGGGTTACTAGTTGTTCTCCTTTTTGGGTGTCCATCCTATTTTGGGCTGTTTTTTTTAAAAAAAAATCTGATGAAAATGTCCTCTTTTGGGGTTGGAAGGTTAGGAATATTCCTAGTTAGTAGCAATTATCACTGCTTAAATAGTAGGGGTATTTAAAATATTTGTCATAGTGATAACTTGTTTGAAGTAGTCAGTAAGGAAATATGTCCTCTTTTGTTTTCAAAATATGGTAACCCTAATGTAACAGATATTTATCATAAACCTATGCTAGGAAAGTGAGCTCACAGATGCATTTTATTGTCGGTTACAATCACCGCACTTCAGTTTCCAGTTTTTATTATGTACAGAACATATACACGTCCCCATTGCAGGTCACAATATTTCCCCCCCAGTTTGTATTTTTACAAAATGGGTACCGCAGCCCTCTTATACATGTGCAATTCTAAAGTAGCCCTGAGTTAAGCTTTAAAGCATTATTATTATTATTATTTGCTACTAAGAACGTTAATGAGACAGTGTTACACTTTTATGGAAAAGCCGTCATTAAAAAAAAAAAGTCACTTTCGCATTTATTAAGCCTAGCCATCAGTGCTGTATAATACATAATATACAGATGCCATCTGCACGTAACTGGAAAATGAAAAAAACAAGAAGCTGACCTCATTTTCCCCCTTAATAGCTATTGCTTCTTTTTCTTTTAAATAAATGACAGGTGATTCCACATCTGTGTAATCAGGCGCAGAGAACTTGAGAAGTTTTTCAAGTCCCCTGCAGCATATTATTTTGTAAACGTTCAAGTTTAAAGTCATACGTGGAAGACAAGCGCGGCGTCGCCAGGCAGCTACAGAGCAGAAGTTCTCGGGAGGAAAACGCATTGGCGGGCAGGGATCCGAAATGACGGAATTAGAGCAAAAAGAAACGGAACAAAACAGGAAACCTGCTTAAGCGCCGGCTCATCTGCCAGCACGATCAAAGTGACTCGGGAACAGTCGAGGGTGGTTTTAACAAATGGCCTGAGAACGTACGTGAGGAAGAACTTCAGCTCGTGAGCAGCTCCAAAGCCAGCGTGAGAATGTCCTGTCATTTCTCAACTCAACTCGCAAGGAGCCGACAGTTTCCACATTCCACTGGCAGCAAAGAAACCAAGTACTGACGAAAAGAACTCTTTAAAAGGTTGCGTTTAGCAGCGCTCTGTATCTGCCTTCAACAACCAGTGTTGCAGGTGGAAATTTTCTCAGAATTCAAAACAGATGTATATATTTTGGGGTTTTTTTGTGCAGGCAACAAGGAAGTGGAATGGAAGACAAGGCAAAGTGGTTGCTCCTTCGCCAGCTAACCGGTTCCATGGCTGCTGTAGTCAAACACGCCTTTCTTGAAGAACGACGAGAATTCGCAGATCGTATGCTTGGACAGGGTCAGCCCCTCCTTGTTTACATACAGTGCGGACGACTCAGAGTTGAGCATTGCATCGAAGAAACGTCTGAGGTATTTCTGGGGAGGAAGAAACAATTCAGGATCGTAAGCATTGCCCAGTGAAACAGATTATTATTATTATTATCATTAAGAACGGGGGATTTCAAAAGCAGTTTGCAACACAGGATGGGCATGGGTCGGTTTAAAGATAAACTTCGAATTCTATTTGGCAAGCCATAATCAGCTCATGGGATCGCAACCAGTCGTAGCTCGTTAGGTCCTGACCGTTACTAGCAAGCTCCTTTGCCTGCAAAATGGAATAACGTCTTTCCCCTGTGATGTTTTAAAACTTAACCGACTTACCAGCAGTTTTGAAAATCTAGTGTGAACTACCGATCAGAGATGCAAAGATGACAACATGTTCAAAGCTCACTTAAGGGTATCCGTATGAGCATCAGATCGCCCTTCATCATTAAAGCGTAAAGGGAATTTGGTTGGCCAAAGACATTGAAGCAAGCACCTTCCTGGATATCACCATACTGCAGGCCCGTAGCTATGATGGGGCTTTTGGGGGGGCTCCGTCCCGTTTCTTAAAGGCACAGCCCCACAAGAATTTCTCCAGTAAATGCTTTTTGTCAATCATTTTAAAACTTTTTTTTAATTTTTATTTTTTTTATTTGTAATTTGTATTGTAAGTTGAGTAAACATTAAAGTGACACATCAATGCAAAACATTTTGCATTTTACGGTGCAATATAGTACAACTAGGACAAAGCGTAATGAAATTCAGCGGTTTAACAGAACTACCTATGAACAATCAATCGACAGTGTATTTCCATGTGGAGAGGAATCCCAGATAAAACATTTTTTTAAAGGCGTGACTCCTTAAAGCAGAGTGGAGTGCTGTAGTTGACTGATTCCTGTACTGAGCAAGGGGGTTGGAGTAGATGACCTCTAGGATCCCTTCTAACTCTGTGTCAAGAATCTCTTTTCCTTTAAGAGAGTTTTTCTGCTTAAGTGTTAGCTTTCTTGACTACAGAAGTCATCACCCCCCAAACTGCTGGCTTCTTATTAGGATTCTGCTTAGGCTGGCAGAAGTGATTAACTTGCAGCAGCTGAGAACTGTCATCTAAAGTGGTTGACAGCTTGCAATATAGAGATCTATCCTGGTAAAAGCTTTCTCTTGGCCAAATGGCTTTTCTTTCTGCACTGAGAACTTCAGCCCCACCAGAAAAAAAATCTGCTCCACAAGCCACAAAATCCTGGCTAAGGGCCTGCCATACTGGGATAACCTTGTATTTTCCCACAGGAAGCCAAAAGGTTTCCTTCCTTCCTTCCTCGCTTCCTCCCTCTCTCCCTCCCTCCTTTCCTCCCTCCCTCCTCCTTCTTTCCCTCCCTTGTGGGGTCCCAAAGCAGCTTACATCAGTCTCCTCTCCTCCATTTTATCCTCACAACAACCCTGTCTAGATAGACACATCTCAGCATGGGGAAATGCACTCCTTCCCCCTTTCAAAGATGATCCCAGAAGTATGGATAAGAAAGCCCCTTACAATTTAATTCTGGATTCAGGTGGGTAACATAAGAACATAAGAGAAGCCAATGTTGGATCTGGCCAATGGCCCATCCAGTCCAACACTCACAGAGTGGCCAAAAATACCAGGGGCCATCAGGAGGTCCAGCAGTGGGGCCAGGACACTACAAGCCCTCCCACTGTTGCCTCCCAAACACAAAGAAGACAGAGCATCACTGCCCCAGACATGAGAACATAAGAGAAGCCAATGTTGGATCAGGCCAAAGGCCCATCCAGTCCAGCACTCTGTGTCACACAGTGGCCAAAAATACCAGGGGCCATCAGGAGGTCCACCAGTGGGGCCAGGACATTAGAAGCCCTCCCACTGTTGCCCCCCCCAAGCACCAAGAATACAGAGCATCCCTTGCCCCAGCCTGAGAGTTCCTATCTATACCTTGTGGCTAATAGCCACTGATGGACCTCTGCTCCATAAGCTTATCCAATTCCCTTTTGAAGCCGTCCATGCTTGTAGCTGCCACCACTTCCTGTGGCAGTGAATTCCATGTGTTAATCACTCTTTGGGTGAAGAAGGACTTCCTTTTATCCGTTCTAACATGACTGCTCAGCAATTTCATTGAGTGCCCACGAGTTCTTGTATTGTGAGAAAGGAAGAAAAGTTCTTCTTTCTCTAATTTAGCAATCGTGTTGGTCTGAAGCAATACAACCAAGTTTGAGCCCAGTGGCACCTTTGAGACCAACAAAGGTTAATTCTGGGTATAAGCTTCCGTGTGCATTCACACTTCTTCAGATATACGTAACACCCTTTTCAGCTCATTTGATGCAACGCAACAGACTTAGAAGAGTGTAAACTCTGTTTGGGACTGCAGTTAAGGATGACATTTTTGTGAAAACTGACTACAAACTAACGAAGAGTAATAATAGTTTAGGAAAAGTCAACTTTCCAAAACGGGTGACAGTTACCAAATGTTTGGGAAAGTCTGATCCAAATCAACTGTATAAAAAGACGCGGAGACGCCACTGTGAGAAGATAATTTTATGCAAAACATCGGCTCCCTCGCATCAAGCACTTGGCAGAAATATTGTGGTATCTGAATGAAGTTTTGAATGAAAGCACATGAAAATGTCCAAATGCAACAAGGCAATAAAACACAGACACATGGGGGATGCATCGTAAATCAAAAGGAAAGCTGGAACATAAGCGCAGCTGCGGGGGAAACCGTATCTACAGTGAAAGGACGAGCGTTTGCTCGGTTACAGATTGGAGTATGTCGACTGCCTCGTAGTTTCCCATGACACTGCACACTGCGACTGTGGATGTGCGGAGGGGGATAATCTATTTAGTACAATACCCTTTTGAAAAATGCAACCTTTAGAGAGAGCATCTGATTTATTTGGGAACATTCCTCCAACAGAGTCCAAATTCCTCCAACGGAGTCCAAATTCTAGTTTATTTCAGAGCAGACACTCCATAAGGAAATTAAAAAAGCCATACTAGATCGAGCCAATGGCCCATCCAGTCCAACACTCTGTGTCACACAGTGGCCATAACCCAGGGGCTATCAAGAGGTCCACCAGTGGGGCCAGGACACTAGAAGCCCTCCCACTGTTGCCCCCCTCAAAGCACCAAGAATACAGAGCATCACTGCCCCAGACAGAGTGTTCCATCGATACCTTGTGGCTCAGAGAGCATAAGAAAAGCCATGTTGGATCAGGCCAGTGGCCCATCCATTCCAACATTCTGGGTGTGTTCAGATGGGGGCTTTACATCGGTTAGGGTGCCGGTTCCAACCGGTGTACTCACCGGTGTTCAGACGGGGAACATCTGCCTCCTGTCCCTAACCGGTGTAAAGCCCTTTACACCGTTGCACTCTGCCACTAGGTCCCAAGTGGTGGTGTCCTGAGTGCAACGGTGGCTTCCGATGTACCCCGGCGTCTGATCGCTCTCCACCGGTGCCTAGCCATTTCCGTCGGAAGCCTGAGGCTTCCGGTTTCCCCCCACCATTTTTTTTAAAAAACAGAGCAATATGCGCTTGGGCAAAGCTTCGCCCTGAGCGTTTGTTAAAAAAAAAAGAAAAAAAGCCCTTACTTCATCTATCCGGAGGAGTCCGGGACTTAAGGGAGGCCAGTTTGGGCTTTAAACTTTAAAGATAAGTCCTTACCTTTAAAGTTTCAATGTAATGGGGGGGGGGGGGTTGAGCATGCGCAACGATTGTCACTCTGTGAATGGCTGCCTATGCGCATGCTCAAGCTTTGTTTTTTTTTTAAAAAAAGCCGACGCCCACAGCGTGTGAGCAGGTGTACACCGAAGGGAGCCGCAAAATGGAGGTAAGTGTGACCGCGTTTCTGCCAGCATAAACTGCACCGGTTCCAACCGGTGCAGTTTATGCCGGCAGAAAGCCCCCGTCTGAACACACCCTCTGTGTCACACAGTGGCCAATACCCAGGTGCCATCAGGAGGTCCACCAGTGGGGCCAAAACTCCAGAAGCCCTCCTACTCTTGCCCCCCAAGCACCAAGAATACAGAGCATCACTGCCCCCAGATAGAGTGTTCCGTCTACACCTTGTGGCTCAGAGAACGTAAGAGAAGCCATGTTGGATCAGGCCAATGACCCACCCAGTCCAACACTCTGTGTCACACAGTGGCCAATTCCCAGGTGCCATCAGGAGGTCCACCAGTGGGGCCAGCACTCCAGAAGCCACTGTTGCCCCCCAAATACCAAGAATACTGAGCATCACTGCCCCCAGACAGAGTGTTCCGTCTACACCTTGTAGCTAATAGTCCCCAATGGAGTTCTGTTCCATCTGCTTATCCAATCCCCTACTAAAGTTGTCTATGCTTGTAGCTGCCACCCTTTCCTGAGAGTGAATTCCACATGAATTCAACATATAAGCCATAGCTGGCTGGCTTAGTTAGTGCTAAAGTTCTCAGAAATTAATCATGCTAATACTGGTTAGCTTTTGTTTTTTTAAAAGTTTAACACTCAAGCTATTTTTTTGGCAAGCGTGATATATTTTTTATTCAAGTCTCCCACAAGTTGCATTAACATTCACACTAGTCCCCCCCCCCCAAGTTGCATGAAGAAATTCTTATAAGATGAATGCCAGTGGGAAAGGAGGCAATTTAAATCAGGGGACAGATGTGGTGTCAGCATTCGTCATAATTAGTTCACGGAGCGTGCTCTGACACACACGCGCGCACATATACACAAAAATGATGAATCTAGATTTTTGGGGTTTTTTTAATGCAGAAGGCACCGGCAAAGCCAAAACCGGCAATATATCCTGGGGAAGACTGAACTTTGGAGCGCTGACACGCCACACAAACAGCCGAGAAAGTAAAGCGGGCCCGTAGCCAGGAATTCTTTTTTTGTTGTTTTTGTTCGGCTGGCATTTACATTTTTAAGAGGGCAGTGAAATTGCTGTTAATTAAGTGAACCTGAATGCCTGTCTTTAAAGGGGGAGGATCCGAGCCTGTTTCTAGACCGGGGGGGGGGGGCCAAACCGCGGCTCGGGAGGCAC